AGCAGGGGGCTCGGGGCACCCACGGAGAACGGACTCTTCTCCAGGAGCTTGGCAGCGCTGCAAAGGACCAGGATCTGGGTTAGCCAAATTCACCCAACGTCTACCTGTGCTCACCTCTCACTAAAGCTTGGCATGGGACACACAGCTGCTTCTGGAGATTTAGCTTACCTAAACCCAGGGAAAGCAATGTGGTGATTGACAATGTAGTCACAACCTGTCATCTTCCCTTCAACATCTGCTGCCACATCCCTTTCAATCAAAAAGTTGCTAAGGAGACAACTACACCAAAGATCTCTTTAAAACCCCCACTGCATCCCTGTGGATCAGGCCTTCAGCTCATTTGAAGAACCCTTAGGACTCACACCTCTAAAGCAGACCAGGAACAACGGCAACACAAGCCCCAAATCTATGTTCTTTTCCTCTTTTCTGCATTTTGTGCAACCTCCTGCCTCCCTGCTGAGCCATCACTGTTCCTGACTGATTTTGTGATGCTGCCTTTACTCCCTTTTCCCACAGAGCAGGGGGATATGAAGAAAAGGACATCAAATGGGATAGTGAAGCCAGCCCTGTAGGTACTTTGCACCCAACACATCTGGCTACATAAAGCAAGATAAACTACACCACATGTATTTATTTTAATTGTTTACAGTTCTCATTTAATTAATCTGCATGGCAGCCTGTTCTGTAACAAAGCATATCGTTTCCCTGTTGTGCAGTTGCAAATATAGAGAAGGAAAAAAAGGGAATTATTTGCCAGAAGCTGGAGCAACTACGAACAAATTGTCCTGAAGGGTTTTCCCAGTTCAGCTGGAATGTCAGGCAAAATTTCTGCAGTGCCAGCTGGTAAAAATCAAGGTTTTTATACTTTCTAGAAATTGAGGTGCATTTAGTGTTCTCCTTCAAGTCTCATACATGGGACAAATAAATGAGGACTAAATTGCCTGCTTGAATTCCAGAACTGGGAAAATAGGAGATGATATTTTCAGGCATATGGTGGTTCCTGGCTTTGGGAAGGACCTTTGGGATATCTCACCAGTTCACAGCACCACCACCAACCCGCCCTCCCCCTGCCCCATCAAACCCTGCAAATATAAACCAGGAAAAAATAAATCAAAATGGGTAAAGTTTAGCAAAGTTAAGAGCAAAAGAAATGTTATAATGGAAAGTATTAGGCAGCACTAGCTAGCAGGCAGCTGCACCCACCCTGCTTTTACTGCACTCTTCCAGGATGCCTCCTGTATCATCTGCGGCAGAGCCAGCCTGGTCTGTGTGTATGTACACTGTCCAGCAGCCACACTCCTTCTGTATGTCATGCTGCCTACTCTTAGTTTCCATCAGCCATTTTCATGCCCCCACCAGAAAAACATTAGCCATCACTTTTTCCACCACCAGGAGCCTCTGCTCATGGACAGCACAGCTACTCAGCACATTACAAATGGCTGTTCATTCTGAAAATGAGAGCAGAGAGCACTGGAATCACAGGGACGTGGTCCAAAGCTCAATTAATTTATATTGTAAAAATGTATTGAGTTTCAATTTAGGCCTTTCAAAGCAGCAGGAGCTATGCATCAACCGCCACGCAACCCTCACTGTTAATAATTGGCCAATTTGCTAAACTGCATGGATGAAGTTGTAGTTAATGATAAATGTCTTGTCAGCATGCTACATTTGAAAACCACAAATTAGGAAAACATCTGCTTAAATCCAAAGTATGACTAAGAGAAAATGAATGGGTTTCATATTTAACGTTTAACTTCCACTAGCAACTGCAAGGCACATCTGTCTCCCAAAATACAAAACGCCGCTTGGATAAGCGCATCGTTATGTAATGAGGAGACTCTCTGCCAGCACAAGCTGCCACCAGCGCGCTTCAGAGATGAGGTGCCTTTTGTTTTCCTGTGTGGTTTCCATCGCTTACTCTCTGACTTGCACTTACAGCACAGTTTGCTGTAAATTTGATTATAGATGAGAGTCAGGGCGCAAGTACAGTCAAAACAACACAGAGGCTCTCAGAAACCCCAGCCTGTGAAATCCTGAGGACCCACAACAGCTACCGAGAAGCCCCATGGGGTGTGAGGGGCTCAGTGTCGGAGGATCCCACACTGGCACGCACACTATTGTCACTGCCAGTAGATGTGGCACAACCCTGTGCCCAGGCTGTATTGTGCCACCAGCATTTGGAGCATCCTGGCTTATCAAGTGCTGTGTGGGACTTGCCAAAGTCCTGACAATTGTTTAGTTTTATAGCTGGTGATACCTTTTGTACGCTAAGTAAGCTGTAAAACTCTTTTTAAAAGTTTTATAGAGCATGGAAATAAGAACTGCCTGGTGGTCTTTCTTAAAACAAAAGGAAAAGCCAGAAGTCAGAAGTCAGCATGTGATGTTTTCAGGCTCAGGAGCTGCAGATGACTCCTGTTCCCAGCAATCTAATTCCACCCTGCTGCAAGCCTGTGCGGCAGCGTGCACATCCCAACAGCTGCAGCCGTCTCCCAACTCCAGTGGCTACCAGCTGGATGTGGGCACAGGCTCCCTCTCTCCAGTGAAACCATCTCACCTGACACTGCCACAAGCCCTGAAGCTCCTTCATCCTCCTCATATTTGGACCAACTTTTGAGCACTGCTGTATGTCTCTAAGAAAGAGAGAGACAAAGCTGGATGTTCCTGGGGCACTTGCTGCCCCCAGCTCTGCAATCACTTCTGGGCTCTGCAGCTGGGCATGGGGAAGGCAAGGGCAGGGTGTCCTGCATGGCTGTGTGGTGGGCTGCCTCCAGCCAGCTCAGTCAGCAGCTTCAGGCCCTGCTGCGGAGCAGGGCAGCACTCCTGTGCCTGCCACCCTCAACCCCAGACTGCCAGCCAGCAGTGAGGAGCTGCAGGGAGCTGCCTTACCTGCAGAAAAAGGAATGACCTAAGGAGAAGCTGCAGCCTCCAAGCCACTAACAGAGGGACTGAATTAGTGAGGAGGGTCGCTCCCATGCACTAATAGATCTGGGAATGGCCACAGCTTCAAAATCCAGCTGTCTGTTATGAATTTCCAGATTTCAGGGTGTTTCGGGTTGCATGCTTTATCCTCCCTCAGCAGAAACAGAATATTTTATCATCTAATCAAGACAAAGAAGGAAGGACATGTTCAGGGGTCAGTGGGAAAAGCAGATACGCAGGTGGGAGGTTGAGAGAAAAGCTGTGTATAAAGCATCTTTGAGAGTGACACTCAAATTTAAGGATTTCTGTTCTGTTATGAAACACAGGACATGAGACACGAGACCGGCGTGCACAGCTTTTGAAAATGTCTTTCCCTCTTTCTGCTCTACAATCATAATATTTATGTACTTGATAACATAATTTTGTAAATAATCCGGCTAAAGATTTACTAAACTACTGGAAACTGCAAACACAAAGTGAAGATAGCACTGAGCGAAGGCATTTTGTGGGGGCTGTTCACCACTCGTACACACACACAACTCCCACCCAAGGGGCCTCAGGTTACCAAAACGCAGCCCCCGCCTGCTTGTGGGGGGTCTCTGCCACAAGATGATCCAAAGCAGCTGAAAGAAGCTCTCTTTCTCCATTGAGCACCCAGGGAATTAGCCTGTGTCAGCCAACGTTAGCTCTATCCTGCCCAAAACATTCCCAATTATAAGGTCAGCAATGTAAAAAGTAAACAGAATTAGTCCTTTTCATTTATTCATTGAACATGAGTTGTACAGCTGGGCTACACCAGCAGCCTCTTTGCACAACTAGGAAAGCCACAAATGGTCTTTCCTTGCCACAGGAAGGACAGGCAGGAGCACTGCCGTACACTTTCCACAAAGAAAGCCATAAACCAGGACAGTTTTTGCACAGCTCTGAGAGACAGGTGTGAAAAAGTGCCTCAACTCTTGCAATACTCAGAATGAGATTGCAAACACTGGTGAGGCTGTATTGCTACAAATCAATTTAGCCCATCTGCTCCCCCTGTAATCCTTATTATGTTTTTAGCATCCAAGATCAGCAAGCAACACACAGCGTCAGAGGTAAAGTATCTAAATGGCTGGACTATTCCAGTAATCCGGACTACAAGAGTGATGAAAAGGCTGAGGACAAAACATATCTATTAGGACAGACTGACAAGCCAGAGCTTAATTTACAAATGACAAAATTAAGGATTTTAAAGTGGTGCCCAGCACCTTTCAAAATTAATAAAATAAACAATTCTGAACTAATAAAGATATTATCTTCACTACAACTGTTTATTTAGGAAGTATTTGCACTCACAAATATTTTAAATGCTGCATAGAGTGTGAATTTGAATACTTAAAAAAAAAGACTAAATCATAGTGGTGCAGAATTTGTTTTCTTGCATCTTCCATTAATCTTGCAAGTCTTCTAAGATTTTTGCATTCCCTCACCCATGACACATTTGCCTTTACATATAATTACACTTACCTGTCAAAATCTTTGAAAGGTAAGTTTTCAATATTTTTTATTCCAAAATGTGCATTTTTTTCCAAGCTGTCTGCATTATGGTGTTGATTTCAGAATTACAATGGCCAAGGACAATAAGATAGCCGAGTATCCTAGATGTATGGCCACTCTGCATTAGCACAGTATTCGATGTAGATCATATTTGCAATGACATGCTGGTTTTTTATCCACAAAAGCTTTTTCTGAACCAATTTATTTAACAGTTAGCAAACTTTAAATTTTTAATTCAGGAATCTTGAACACATCAAAGAGAGCCATTTGCTAATTATCCAAGCACAAAATCAATTATATTCTGTTATGCAGAAGTGTGAACATCCTTTTCCTGTAATGTATCATTTATTCAAAACACATGGGGCTGCCTTCTCTAAACTCATTCAAAACAATTGCCGCTGTACTAAAAGAGCAAATGAAAAAATTAAAAATAAACAAATTAATTGTTATGCAGATGAAGTTGATAAGATATTAGGGGTAAACCTGGTCTTCAAATAAAAATGCACCATTTGACAGTACTTCAGTGAAATTACATGTTTGTATGTGAGGACAGAATTTGGCCTCTTGAATTCAAGGGAACTGCAAAGCCGTATTTCAAACACCAGCAGAAGTAAAGACGAAG